AAATGGTACTTCAAATAATACTAGCACAATAGTTACAGTTATTGCAGAATTTGTGTCTGCTGCCGGGAGATTCAAGGACCACTCTAAGCTAAATAGGCCAACTGTGTTCTTAAACAAGCTTGCCGGATCAGTGCAAGTTGAACTTGATAGGAAAAGTGCTGTGCTAAAAATAGAAACTGATATGGACAATAAAGACATTTGTCCGTTCGGCAGACAATATAAGTTACACGCAAATAGTACTTCCGGTCAGGACAGTACTATGGTACAACCACAGGGAACTAAATTGGAAAATCCTACCGAAGACATAATGATTTTTGGTAAATGTTCTGAGTATCCGGAACACCTTGTGGACAAAATAACAGGAATTCCAATAGAGTACTGTGGTATGTGTAATTATCAACGGAATTATAGCTGTTGAAAGTATACAGAGAAAATTTAACGGAGAGAAAGTCCTATTTAGCTGTGTTACTAGGAATAGGACATTTATTCTTGAAGCCTTAGCAGAAAGATACGGGGGGGAAAGTATGGTGGACCTGGTTGTAGAAGGCCTACTGAAAATATATAGTGAAAGTGTATTTTCACTAATAATTACTTTAACGTCTATTGGAAGTACAATTGCCGAACTTGCTTATGACAGTCCCCTTGTAGAATCCTTTAACTTTGTCTCCCACATCATTAGAAAGGTTAAAGAAAAACTTATTCTTTTTCGTTTGGAGAAACGTGAAATTGAAAAGCATGCATGAAAAAGCCTAAAGTTTAAGTCTAAGTTCAGGTTACTTTTAAAGATTGCTTTACCTGCAGCCCTAGAATTTTAGCTTTGCGGATTCTACTTTTTCTGCGGTAAAGACCAAAAATCTAACATCATCTAATGTAAACATAAATCTATGATCTTTCGCCAGCTAGAATTTACTACTCCTATGTTTTGCGAAAGATAGAGGAGTCTCATATGCGGCCGTATAACAGAAATTTAGCTCTAAGCTTGGAATAGAATTTTCAAAAACTGAAAATAGTTGTTCTTATTTATCTTCTCCTCTTTGCTAGAAGTATGTCCCAGGAATATTAAAAGGTATAATGTCTTTACGTACTAGTGCGGTGGCTTGCTTTGAGATGGAATACAAGGATGCGCTAGAGGCAGTATTATTTTGCAATGGTGTAACGTTTACGAAATTTGACTTTTATGTCTCGGATGTTCCTAATAGGTGCGATCTTGTTTTAGACACCCTTTTTGTTGAGTTCGGAATACACGCGTACAATGTTATTATAGATTTTATTCTAGATACTTGTTATAAGTCTAGTGCGTCTGTTAATTCATTAATGATTAAGTGTGTATCTGCAAAAATTCTTATGAGAATATCTACAAAAGCTTTTACCAATGCAGGACTAGTATGTTCTCTAGATTTGAGTACTGCTTTTAGGGATATTTTTGCTAACACACTAACAGAAGCAATTGGACTTATACGTAGTTTTAAGGAAGAAATTTTGGAATGTCCAAAACTATGTAATCCCATTTTTGCTACCCTGGGACTGGTGCTTGATTCGTACGAACATATTATAAATTCGTTTCAGGAGAATGAATTCTCCTGCAATGTAGTAGAACGTCTTCTTGATGTTATTGAAAACGCATACTCTTCCATACACTATAGGTATACTTACTTAAGCGGAAATGCGATCAGATTATCTTGTACTGACAATGCTATACTTAAAGGCGTCACAGACTTATTAGATTTATTTGGGAGTTCTCCCGTTATTACAATTAATAAAAGTATTTTTATAAAATGTGCTACTAATATTGTTGAATACAAGTATTCTACTAGGAAAAGCCGTACACTTATCCTAACAAGTGTGATTCCTATACTAGCAAGAGTACTCCTTCTAGCCGCTAAAAATGGACATAAGACTACTATTGATTCTACATCCGATTACTTTCGTACACTTGTTGACGGAGATAAGGTAGTAAAACTTTTTAATTTGGTTTTAGATTCTGCTTCAGGAATATTTGTTTCGATAGGGAAGGCCCAGAATAATAATCATATTTCGGCAGATAAAAACAAGATAAATATGCTGAAGAAAATATACACAAAAGTAACAGATACAGTAGAGTTTATGAATATGCTATTTCCTGATGTTGTTCCTGATGAAGGTGTGGTAGCAAATACAATAGCTACTGGAATAATAACCATTTCAAGGTTACTACAGTACACGGACAGGAAGCAATACTCAATATTTGATATTATTGGAGGCAGAGTATTTGTTTTTGACACCCTCCTAACGGAAAAGTATTTAAATGAAAATATAATAATTCTAACTTTAAAGATACTGCTACAATCATGCAACCACGTAAAGGCTCGAGTTGAAATTATGCTTAGGAATACCGGAGGGTTAAGTTTTGGATCCCCTGGCAGTGTTGCATTGTGCTTTCGTTCATTTATTCTTAATATAATGGAAAAAATAAAGGGACAAGGTGCTTTTGTAACAGTAGCATAGGAACTAAAATTCTTCAAATAATAGATTTATATACTATTTAAAACCTTGAAATTCCGGCAAATAATAAAACCAGAGTTAGAACAAAAAAAAAATTCGTACATATAGTGTTCTGTATTGTATTGCTTTGTGTACGTATTAGGTACCGGCCAGTTTGCGGAAACTAAGAGAAAAAGAACATACTTGCAACTCCTTATCCCGAAGTTTTTTGTTGGTTAAATTTTAAAATTGGAAGTTCCGTGTTTTAAGTTAAGGTTTAGGCAAACCATATACCGGGAATAAATTCCCTAGCAAAAATTTTGGTAACTTACATACACTGAGGAGATACTAAACTCCTGAAAAATTCCGCTGAGGACCTATCCTCAAATTTCAGCAAAAAGTAGGACAAATCTAACCCGAAATCTACTGCACAAAGGTTGTTTTGCTATTAATTGTAACAAAATAACTTTGAGGATACTTACCCAAAAATTGAATAAGTTTTTATTTAAGTATACTTTAAAATTTTTAATATCCACGGAATTTACTTCCTGCTATTATGAAGAAACGTACCGGATCTAGTGGAACTGTTAATTGTACTGGTATCCCGGCTACTGAATGCTCCGGATTTAGTGGAATTATTAATAATGCCATAAAAAACATCAAAAGCAACAACTCCAATACAGAATATTTTAGTGGTATTCGTGAACCTACAACTACTACTGTACCCAAAAATCCTGCAAAATATACCGGTGGTGCTAATAACTACGGGGAATATAAAAACTTTGCGAGCAGAAATCCCGGGAATCCCCGATCCGGAACTCAGAATATCAGTAGTTATGAAAGTAACATCGAATATATTTTGTTATCGGTAAAAGACCATTTGTGCTTCGAAAGTGACTGTATTCTGTTGTCCGATAAGTGTATTACAGCTATGAATGGGTTTATGAAGGGGAGTGGAGATTCTAAAAATAACGTATACAGGATGGTTGTAGCATCTACGGTAAAAGTAGTCGGTGATATTGTTAGTAGAAGTGGTATTCAGGGCACCTACAAAGCCACAAAAATGTACCTAGTAGTAGGTAAATTCCTAAAAGCTATTTTGGGTATTATTAATAGGGAATCACCCGAAGGGGAAGAATGTAGTATTATTGATGATACCATAGTCCTGGCACTTGGTGGAATAATTGCAGTGGCCGATAAGAGAT